TCTGCATGCTGCAACAAAGATCCCGCATGCCACAACTAAGACCTGGTTGGTGCAGCCAAAAAAATAAATAAGTAGGGCTTCCCTGGTGGTGCAGTGGTTGAGAGTCCGCCTGCCGATGCAGGGGACACGGGTTCGTGCCCCGGTCCGGGAAGATCCCACATGCCGTGGAGTGGCTGGGCCCGTGAGCCATGGCCGCTGAGCCTGCGCGTCTGGAGCCTGTGCTCCGCAACGGGGGGAGGCCACAACAGTGAGAGGCCCGCGTACCGCAAAAATTAAATAAATAAATAAATAAATAAATAAATAAATAAGTAAAATAAATATATTTTTTAAAAAAAGATATTTAGATCAGAGGGTCCTTTCCCCGTAGCAGACCATTGGAAACTGTAAGTAATAGATGAGACATCTGCTGAGGAGGAATTACAGTGTTGGAATTACAGAGTTAAGTTGTAGTGTTAGAAGTCTATCAAGAAATGACCTGGGCTTCCCTGGTGGCACAGTGGTTGAGAGTCCGCCTGCCGATGCAGGGGACACGGGTTCGTGCCCCGGTCTGGGAGGATCCCACGTGCTGCGGAGCGGCTGGGCCCGTGAGCCATGGCCGCTGAGCCTGCGCGTCCGGAGCCTGTGCTCTGCAACGGGAGAGGCCACAACAGTGAGAGGCCTGCGTACCGCAAAAAACAAAAGAAATGACCTGGTGGTCTTAACTTCTTTTGTTGAAGTAAGTCATGGAATCTTCAGTTATTAAGATGAATGTACAGAGAAACTTTGAGGGAACTTTAAGTATGCAAAAGCTGCTGTAAATTTATAAGATAAAGCCAATGTAGAAAAAATAAATGACAGAGCTAGAGCATGAGAAATATAATTTATAATTTTATTTCCTCCAAGTAAACACAGAAGCACAGAAATGGATGCAAATAACTGAATGGCAAAATAGTGGAAAGAATGTTAGTGAAGGCAGAGGACGCCTGTACTCGCGGGTGGCGGGAGCCGGGAGCCGGGACCCCGGCGCTCCTGCCTTAGTGGTTCCAGGATGTGGGCGCCTCCCAGGGCCGAGAGGAGCTGAACAGCCGCGTCCTGCTGGCCAAGGAACTCATCATCACGGACAGCGGCGCAAACCAACCCCAACCCCACCTTGACTGGGCTCTGAACTTGCACCGCCACCACCACCCCCATCACCCAGACCTTGCTGCCAGGCTCGGATCCTCCTGGTCCCACTCATGTCACAGACACAAAGCCAAAGCAAGCCCTCCCCCTCCCCGTCCCCCACCCCCGCCACTGGCACTGGAAGAAAGAGAGTCCCAGTGGCCACACAGAAAAAACGGAAAGAGAAACGGGTGCCATGAGTAACAGAAAATCAGTTGTTGTTGTTGTTGTTGTTGTTTTTTGCGGTACGTAGGCCTCTCACTGTTGTGGCCTTTCCCATTGCGGTGCACAGGCTCCGGACGCGTAGGCTCAGCGGCCGTGGCTCACAGGCCTAGCATCTCTGCGGCATGTGGGATCTTCCTGGACCAGGGTACGAACCCGTGTCCCCTGCATGGCAGGCGGACTCTCAGCCACTGCGCCACCAGGGAAGCCCCGAAAATCAGTTTTTAAAAGGTGCTTTAGGGCTTCCCTGGTGGCGCAGTGGTTAAGAATCCGCCTGCCAATGCAGGGGACATGGGTTCGAGCCCTGGTCCGGGAAGATCCCACATGCCGCGGGGCAGCTAAGCCCGTGCGCCCCAACACTGAGCCTGCACTCGAGAGCCTGTGAGCCACAACTACTGAGCCCACATGCTGCTACTGAAGCCCACGCACCTAGAGCCCATGCTGCGCAACAAGAGAAGCCACCACAATGAGAAGCCTGCACACCGTAACGACAAGTAGCCCCTGCTCAACTAGAGAAAGCCCGCGCAGCAACGAAGACCCAATACAGCCAAAAATCAATTAAAAAAAAAAAAATGTTAGTGAAGAGTCAGAATTCCTCCATTCTAATCCTAACCTACACTAGTTATGTAACCTTGAGTAAGTCAGTCTTCAGAATAGTAGCTGATAGGGACTTCCCTGGTGGTCCAGTGGTTAAGACTTCACCTTCCAATGCAGGCGGTTCGGGTTCCATCCCTGGTCAGGGAGCTAAGTTCCCATGTGCTTCGGGGCCAAAGAACCCAAAATATAAAACAGAAGCAATGATGTAACAAATGCAATAAAGACTTTTAAAATGGTCCACATCAACAACAACAAAAAAATCTAAAAAAAAAAAGAATAGTAGGTGATATTTACAGAGGCCCTACCATATTCCGGACCTTGTGCAAGCCTCAATCTCCTTTTTTGTAAAATGAAGATTATATTGAATTAATTATTTTGAAAAATTCCATAAAGAGCCATGTACATAGAAGAGATAATTCTTGAAATTTGGATTTATTCACTGTAGTAGTAGTAGCGTCTGATAGTCTGTGTGTCAGTGCTCAAAACAATTCTGAAGGGTGTGCTGTATTCTTATTTTGATGAAGAAACTGATGTTCAGTGGTTATGAAAGTTGCACAGTCAGGAATCAGTAGAGTCATGTTTCTAATCCAGTTCTGCATGATTTCTTTATACCACCTTGACTTTGTCTTGAAAGATAGTAGATCCTGGTGGGCAGAGGAGGGGGAAGGAATAGGGTAGCACCAGTGAGATTTAATTTATTATATATGAAAGCTTAAGATGTAATTCGAAGGGGATGGTTAGTCCTGAGATTGGTGATCTCAGTGGTGAGGTGGAACACTACCATGTGTTAATAAGGTCATAGGTATATCCCATTTGATTAACTTGTAAGTCCCAGAAGAGCTAAATGTTATGAAGCACAGTCATATAATAGTTTATCCATGTGTCTTCTGGAATCTTGGACATTTTTCTTCAGGAGACAGAGGGAGGACAGAACACTGGTGAGGTAATGAAGTCTGAGTGGAAAACAGAGGTGAGTACAAGAGGCCAAAATAGTACTATAGTTTGTGGAGATGGGTAGACTTTGCTTTGAACCAAGAGGATGTCACTTCTTAGAATTAATTCTCATATTCATACCCTTTGAAGACCCTTCTCAATGTCTATGATTAATTTCCAAATATGGAACTAAGCAGGTCTTGAGTGCTTCATAGCTTTGATCTCTCAGCTCTTTTCACACTTCTTATCCTTCCCATGGTTGAGTTGAGAAATATTATTTGGAAATATAAGACTAATAGACCAGAAAAAGAGTATAGAAAGACCGGAAAAGAATACAGGAGCAGAACAGTTTTTATTCATTGATTTATCCTGTGCCATTTTCTTCTTGACAACAAGTGCAAAGTTCAAGCTTTAGTTGTCATCCTGCTGCTGCTGCTGCTACTGCTACTAAATTAACAAGCAGTAGACATCTTTCTCTTTGATGCAGTTTATCTGTTGGAGATGTTGTCAGCTGCCACAGGGGAAGCAAAGAACTTTGAACTCTCATTCTGATTTGCAAACTTTCAGTTTCTGCATAGAAATCCATGGTGATTGGTGTCTATGAGAATACATCTGTGATACTAATATGACTAGGAAAGGTAGCTAATATACATTGGCCTCATGCTTTATGTGAGGCAGTCTGAAGCACTTGAAGAGGAAGTAAGAGTCTCAGAAATTACGAAGGCCTGAGTTGTTTTCATTAATGCTGTTGTGCTTCTCAGAAATGGCAGAACTGGGATTCAGAAGAAAACTTGAGAGACATTTGAGAGAAAGCTGGTGCTGTGTGCTAATTTTGCATGTGCATGTGTGTGTTCATGTGTTCCATCACTCTGAAAGACTGCCTTGGTAGTCAACCCCACCATTAATCCATAATTCGTAATTCATTCTTTTCACCATAGTTTTGTCTTTTTGAGAATGATAAAAGGATTGGGTCACTTTTGGTCCAGAGTGAAACTTTCATAATATAAGGGAGACCACAAAATGTAAAGGATTATGTACATTGTCCTATGTTTTCTGTTGACAGAAATTCCATCCTCTGGTTCCCTTTTCTATTTAGGACGTTTTTTTGTGTGTTCCCCTTATTTCAGGGAAGAATTTCTAACAGTACAGTTGTATACCTTCTTGGTGACCTAAAAAGAAACAATAATATGCATTAGGTTTGTAGCAACCTCTGCTTTTTGGGTGTATGTGAGAAATGAAGTTTTTTAACCGTACCTTAAGTTCCAGCATATATCTATTACCAGAAATATTTTTTCAGAATATTCTCCCTTCTTCCTTGTAAAGTCACAGAGAACTTTTGGGGCTCCTCAGCTAGGTCACAGTGGCCAAAAGACTGTGCCTCGTCTTAGAATAGAATCAGTATATTATTTGTGATACAAAACAAAGTAACCAGTAGTTCTTCAAATTCCCACTTCCTGTTCATTTCCTCCAGACACAAAATAGGTTTGAGGAAAAAAGTATTTTCCTGATGCTTTGAGCTGCCTGTGTTTGGGATTCAATGTATTTTGGGTGCTTATTGCTTAACTGGGCTGAAGATTATCTCATGTGACAGCATAGATCTCTTGTTTTGGAATTGCCATTACTTTCTAGAACAGCCACTCTGTACACCGGCCAACATGCCCTGGATCCTCTTGCTTCATATTACAGTGATACTGCTTTGTCAGGGTAGAATTCAGCCTCACAGGGCTGGTGTCAGTCTCTGCTGACCTCATGCCACAGTACAGCATGTTCAAATCTGGGAGAAACCCGAGGGTTATTCGACACATTCCTCCTCCTTCTCCCTCACAAGCATGGAACCCTCACTCTCCTCGGAAACCGTATGTTGTATATGTGTGTGTATCTGTCTTTTTAAAAAATCTCTTCCTTAATCTTATAATTCTACAGCTTTAAATGGGGGCTGGTTGAATAGACAGACACAGGAAATGCTGTGAGCTGCTGAAACTTAGCATTTTTCAGCAGTAGATCTCAGCCACGGGTATTTGCTATTTTGGGTCTGACTTGTGTGAGACTGCAATAACTGAGAAGCATATTATGTGTTTCCTAGTTGTTCATTTTACCCATAGGTGTTTAGGCAGAATGCACAGGGTGTTCTTTGGCTGTGTGGTCATGCTGAGATCATACCAGAGTGTCCCCATTCTCCCGTATGATGGGCTGTTTCAGTGCAGAGTAAATGTCATCCTCACTCTCTCAGGCTAAATAGTTATCCAAAAATAAGTGTTTTCTTCAATGAACAAAAGAGTTTCGTTTGCCTTTGGCAGCTTGGGAAAAGCTTGGGTTAAATTTGAAGATGCCAGGCATGCATAACAAATGAGAATTTGGATTAAAACCATTTGAAATATTTCTCACATTAAAAAAAAAAACAAAAACGGTTCTTATTACTCAACTACTTGTTTTCAGTGTATTTTTCCCGAAGACTTGGCAATTTTCTGAATTGTAAAGCAGTATGCACATATCTTGGTGCTAAGTTCATGTTTTCAGATCACCAGAGCAAGTCCCTGAGATACAGCTAGATGGGAGGGTGATCCAGCTTTATGCAGCACAACCACCGTTTTCACATTTCATCCATAGTCATGCGAACAAAACCTTGCCTATAGCTTGATTTTACCACGGTTTTTTGGTGTTGGCTTTAAAAACGATGCATAGATATTTTCTGAGATAAATGCTAAAGCAAAGCAGATTCTTTGTAGTTTTACCTGATTCTAAAACTAACGTTTATTAATATTGTTTGGTGTGAGCCTTTGGATTTAAGATCCAAACAGATTTTTCACCCTGAAGTTTGATATTAAATTCCTCTTACTCCTTATGGTTGATAATTTAAATGCCAACTTTATTAACAGATTGTACCCCTCCCTGCTCTGTACCCTTTTTTTCTGTTGTTTGTTTTGTCTCTTGGATTTTAAAACCCTGGCACATCTCTGTTTGTTCTAAGGTAATAAAAGGTCAGTTTACTTATCTACGTTTTATTAAGAATGCAAGCCCAGGTTGAATGGGGTGGTCAAAAGGAAAGAATTCATAGGTAAACCCTAAAAGGATAGGGGGTGGAGACTGATAGTAAAACAGAAGTTAACTCCTTTTTCACCATTATTGACAGTCCAAAAAGAGGAGGGAAACATAAAACATAATCTAAATATTTATAATTGATTTTATTTTCTCCATTTATTGCATTAATCCATGAGTAGAGGAAGCTTGCCAAAAGTGTATACTTAGTACCTGAGTGAATGATTGTGTTTCCTTGCTTCACTACCCATGTCTCTGTCTCACTTACCCAAACTATTCTTCAAATCTGGTGAACTAAAATACTCCTATTGAAACAATGATTAAAATGTTCAGAAATGAGGTACTTGCTCCAGTTTCTGAAATTCTTAATATGGCTATCTGGATACATCAAACTGCTCTAGATAGGGGTTTACATATAACCTCCTTGCATGAGGTTGCAACACACTTTGTGAAAGCTACAGAATAAACATTTTGAAGGAAGAAAACTCTAGAGGGGAAAACATATCAGACTCTAGGAAATAAATGGAGAGTTTCAGGAAGTGGGATATTATAGAATGCACTGTATATATATTGACCTTATATTTATATTTTAAATACATAAGATAATATTCCCAGTTGTTGACCAGTTTTAAAGATGAATAATTTCCTCTTTCCTTTCTTAATAACCCTGCAGCACCACTCATCTGTATAAGTTGCCTTGGTTTTCTGTACAAATGCACAGAAATTACAGTGACAATTTAGAACATAGCATGTGTAATCATTTGGTTCTGTATAGATGCTATCATTTAAACAATTGTTATTTACATTGGGCTGTCACTTTATTAAATGGTGAACTTTTGAAAGATAAAACAAAACTCCCCTCCCATCTAAACCCTCAAACTGCTGCTTGACCTAAATCTCATCACTCCATAGAGCTCAGAATGCCACATGAAAGTCAGATTCCATAGGAACGATGCAAAGTTCTGCCCACATTATTTTGTAATTGTGGGATTTCTTTTTAATTGAGTTTCATTCAAAAGAAATAGCTAGAATAGTGACTTGAATGGTGGATGAGAAGTGTACAGTAAGGCAGCAGCAGGAGACTGTTTCATGTTGCAGTGTTTCCCTCCTCCCAGTGCTCAAAATGCCTTCCTTCTCCTCATGAGAATGTTTTATATCCCTTAAGACTGTTAGAGGGAAAACAGGTCGAGAACTCTGACCTAATGCTTAAAAACATTTGTCATTGATTATTTTAATTCACACCAGAAATTAAATGCCAGAGCTCCAGTATATCCTATCTGAAAGAGAGGGTGGTATAGACCAATCATTTGTTCACTGAACAGACAGTTATTGAGATTCTGCTGTATATCAGAGTTTGGGAGTTGAGATGGATTGTCTGCCCTCATGCAGCTTACATTCTAGTTGGGGAAGATGACAACAAGTAATAAGCCTATTAAGTTAACTAAGAGTATGTTAGGCGTGGGCTATAAAATAATAAAGCTGGGAAAGGGAGATTGGAAGTGCTGGGGGCAGGCTGCCTTTTTTTTGGGGGGGGATAAATTTATCTATTTATTTTTGGCTGCGTTGGGTCTTCGTTTCTGTGCACGAGCTTTCTCTAGTTACGGCAGACGGGGGCTACTCTACGTTGTGGTGCACATGCTTCTCGTTGAAGTGGCTTCTCTTGTTGTAGTGCACGGGCTCTAAGGCGCAGGGGCTTCAGTAGTTGTGGCACACAGACTCAGTCGTTGTGGCTTGTGGGCTCTAGAGTGCAGGCTCAAGAGTTGTGGTGCATGAGCTCAGTTGCTTCGTGGCACGTGGGATCTTCCCAGACCAGGGCTCGAACCCGCATCCCCTGCATTGGCAGGCAGATTCTTAACCACTGCACCACCAGGGAAGTCCCTGGGCTGCCATTTTTAATTGGATAGTAAGTGTAAGCCTCATTCAAGAAGACATTTGAGGAAGGGCTTGAAAGAGGCAAGCAGGTTAGCCATACAGCTGTCTGAGCAGTGAGCATTCCCAACAGAGGGTACAGAACAAAGGCAAGAGTGTTCCTGATGCATACAAGGAATAGGAAAGAGGTTGGTGTGACTAGAGTAAGAATAAGGGAGTGTAGAGTGGTAGTAATTGGGGTGTCAAAGATGTAATCGAGTGCCTCAGTTATCTATTGCTGTATAACAAAGCACCCCAAAACTTAGTGACTTTAAACAACTATTTTATTTGCTCATAATTCTACGAGTCAGGTATTTGGGCTGGGCTCAGTTAGGTGTTCTTGTGCTGGTCTTGCCTGGGGAGTCACTGTAGTTGTTAGGTCGTTCAAGACATGTTTGGCGGTTGGTACAGCTGAGCCTCTCTCCTTTGTGGTACAAGGATTTTAGCCTGAACGGCTATAAGGATAGAGTTGTCGTTGACTGAGCTGTGAAGCCTGCTGAAGGTCTCCGTATAGCAAGAGAAAGCAAGCCCCAGGCACAAACACTTTTCAAGTCTCTGCTTGTGTGACATTTGGTAATGTTTCACTGGGCCAAAACAAGTCCATGGCCAAACCTTGGACCTTATCACGGGATGGAGAAATAGATTCCATCTCTTGATGGGAGGAATGGGAAAGTCAAATTGTAAAGGGAAGGGCATACTAGATTGGATGAATTTGTGCTATTAATCTGCCACACAGAGGGCCAAATCAGGTATGCCCCTGAAAGCCATTTTTAAGGACTAGTTTTCTCTTTGAGTGTAAGGAGGACACATAGAAAAAATTAAGCAGGGGAGTGACGTGATTTGACTTAGGTTTTTAAAGGATCATTCTGGCTGTTGTATTGAGAATAGATTATATGGCAACAAGGGAGACCAGTGAGGAGGCCATCGTACTAATCCAGACGAGGTATGATCATGGCTCAGACTAAAGTAGTAGAAGTGAAGATAATGAGAAGTATTTAGATTTTTGATGTATTTTGAATGTAGAACCAACAGAATTTTCTGGTGGATTGGCTATAAGAGAGAAATTGATGACTACAAGGATTTTAGCTTGAACAGCTGGAAGAATGGATTTGTCCTTGAGATAAAAAGTCTGCTGGTGGGGCAGGTTTTGTGGGAAAGAGGAAGAGTTCAGTTTGAGATGTCTATTAGATATCCAGGTGGGAATGTCGAATAGACAGTTGGCTGTATGAGACTGGAATTTAGGAGATGTCGAGACTGAAAATAAAATTTAAGAAGGTATCACAATTAGATGATATTTAAAGTCATGAGACTAGGTGAAGTCATCAAGAGAGAGAATGAGTGTAAAGAAGAGAAGAGGAAAAAGCTCTGAGCCCTGAGCACTCCAGTTTGAGAAGTGGAAGAGGAGCCTGTGAGGGAGGAGGGAAATGAGAGTATGTGTACTGGAAGCCAACTATAGAAAGACTTCATAGGAGGGCGGAAACATCAGCTGTGTCACATGCCACACCGATAGGTCAAGTAAGATGAGGACTAAGAACTCGTCTTTGGATTTAGTAATGTGACGATGATTGGTCACCTTGACAAAAACTTTTTGATAGAATGAGATAAAATCCAGTTGAATGGCTTTGAGAAAGAATGGGAAGAGAGGAATTTGAAGACAGTGAGTTTTATACCATTTTTATGAGTTTTACTGTAATAAGGAGCAGAGAAGTAGGGAGTAACTGGTAGAGGAAATGCAGTCAAAAAGAAATTTCTTTAAGGTGGGAGATGGAAAAAAATCATGCTGATAGGAAGAATTCAGTAGAGAGAAGAGAAAAATGATGTTTCTTTCATTTATAATATTTAACAAACTTCAGTGGCACTTGCATGTGCAGGCACTATTCAGAGCACTTTACAAATATGAACTCATTTAATA